CAACAATGGGGCACATCAGGTATAGCAGAAATCGCCTACCCCTGTTCTCCAGGCCAGGAGAACAAGAACGGGTTAAGCACTGAAGTTTTGATGGCAGACTGCTGTGTTCTGGACACTTAGTTGATTCTCTTAGCTGACTCTCCTTGATTCCCATGGTTAAGAGGAGGACATAGTGACTAGTTTCACTGCTGCCTTCTTTCGGACAATACTCTTCCACATAGGACACTACCCCCTTATCCTACCCCTAGCCTGGTTGCTACAGCAGATCCTCTCCAGAGGTCAGAGGATATTGTTATCTGAGTGGGTAAGTGTGTCCTTGCAGATGTCCACTGGCTATGCTGTGGGCCCTTCATGCCTGGGACCACAACCACTTTTCCTCCTACTGAATAACTCCGGCCCCACCAGGGATGGCTTTGGGTCTCTCTGTGTGCCTGGTAACAGGGAAGGCTGATATGAATAGCCAGTTCCTACTGAAAAATGGACAGAACTGTGGGTATGTAACAGTGGCTGGAAGACAGATCCAGCACGTGTCTGGAACCCTGCTGGGTGAGTCTAAAGATACCCATCAGCTGCATAGCCGCACCCAGGAAACATAAGCTCACTGACTTTGCTGGGTGATTTAGATTGGTGATTAAGAGCCAGACTCCAGAAGCAGAATCTTTGCTGTCACTTTCAGTTCATGTCACCTTGGGCACATGTATTGGTCAATCTTCCCCTGACAATTTCACTGGATTAGAATAATTTAGAAACATGCCACTGGGAGGTTGTTTTTACAAAGCTGGATGGTTGGGGAAGTTTAGTTAACAAAGAGCTACCCTGAATGTGGGCTGGGGTCCCAGAATGAATTACAAATAAAACATGATAAATTGTGCAGAGCACTGGTATTTATCTCTGTGCTTCCTGGCCATGAACATGCTGTGAGCCAGCTTCCTCACCTCCATGCCTGCACATCTGCCCACCAGGATGAAGTGTACCCTTAGACTATGAGCTAAAATAAGCCTTGCCTTCCCTAGTTACTTCTGCCCGGTGTCTTGTCATAGCAATGAAAAAGGTCATTGTCGTGAGCCTCACCTCCCACCTCTGAAAGGCTTGGGGAATACTAATCGAGGTAGTGACTGCACAGGACACTTGGTATATGGGACTTGGTATCAGTCCTGTGCTTCCTGAGGATGCACAGGCTCCTGGATTTATGGTCCACCAAGAGTGTTAACTAAGAGGTCATTCCGCAGAGAACACCAGGAGCTCTTATGAGGGGATGCTAAGCTGCCAGGGAGCAAATGTGCACTGCAATGTTTCATCCCTATCCTGCGGCAAACACCAAGGACAAGCAGGCTTTATTATATTTGGTGCTGCCACCATCCTGTCCTGGTTCAGTGAATCACAGTTGAAATTTTTGTTTGTTTTTCTTTTTTCAAGACAGGGTTTCTCTTTGTTACAGCCCTGGCTGTCCTGGAACTCACTCTGTAGATCAGGTTGGCCTCGAACTCCCAGAGATCTGCCTGCCTCTGTCTCCCAAGTGCTGGGATTAAAGGCATGCACCGCCATCTCCCGGTTACATTTGATGTTTTAAAAAATGAACAATTTCTCTTCTCATTCCAATCAACTACAGTGCTTTGCATAGAGCACCACAACAAACAAACACAAACAGACAAAAACCCTACAGGTTGAATGGATGGGACAGTGGGAGAAAAAAAAAACTGGGGGGAAAAACTGGGGGAGTAGAGTTTTCTCAGCAATGTGAGAACGCTGGGAATCAAAGAGATGAACCTGCAGTCGGTGGAACTGGAAAATATAAGTATGGCCTGGGGATAATCCTAACAATCCACCAAAGGCATAGGGGGCATTCTAGCTTCACATGTGTTGTTGTGACAAATATCCTGATAAAGCAAGCAGTTTAGGGAAGAAGGGGTTTATTTCCACTTACAATTTCAGGTGACAGTCCATCGTTTTAGGGAAGTCAAGGCAGGAACTCAAGCAGCTGGTCTCATCACACCCATGGTCAAGAACAAAGAGAAACAGATTCACTCATGCTGCCAACTGCATCTAGCTTTCTCCTGCCCCATACAGTTCAGGACCCACTGCCCAGGGAATGGTGTCACCCGAAAGGGACTGGGACTTCCTACATCAATTAAGGATCAAGACAATTCTCCCCAAATACAGTTCAGGACCCACTGCCCAGGGAATGGTGTCACCCGAAAGGGACTGGAACTTCCTACATCAATTAAAGATCAAGACAATTCTCCCCAGACATGCCCACAGGCCAACCTGATAGCAAATCTCTCATGCAGGCTCTTTTCTCAGACGATTCTAAGTTGTGACAAGTTGACATTGAAAATGAACCATCACCAGGAAATCATTGCTGCTGAACAACCAGTGCCTTTAGATTAGCATGAAGGGGATAGAGATGCCAGGATTCATTTGTTACATCACCTTGGCTCATCTGCCACAGCTTCCTGTTCTTGCTTTGGAGATGGCTACTGGTACCTCACCAGGCTGGCCCATTCTTTCAGCATCTTGAATCTCATTTGCAGAGGCCTGTGGGTAGGGCCTGGCTGGCTATCCTTCTAGCCCAATAAGGTGTCACAAGAGATCAGTTAGTCCTGCACTTCCTGAGGATGCACAGACTCCTGGATTTATGGTCCACCAAGAGTGTTAAATAAGAGGTCATTCTGCAGAGAACACCAGGAGCTCTTATGAGGGGCTGCTAAGCTGCCAGGGAGCAAATATGCACTGCAATGTCTGCCTTTAGTGGTTTATATAGAAGTTGCCCTTGCCTTGCGGCTTAGGAAAATCTGATGCATGGACATTTCATCTGGGATTCCTGATGTAAAAGTTAAGCCCCCAAGGGGCTGGGGAGATGGTCCAGTCACTAAAGTGTTTGCCTTCCAAGCATGAGGACCTGAATTTGATCCCCAGAATTCATTTAATAAAGCTGGATGTGGTAGCGTTCACTTCTAAACCCAACACTGGGAAGGTAGAGACAAAATGATGCCTGGGAATCACTGATCATCCAGTCTAGCCTAATTCATGAGCTCCAGGACAATGAGAGACCCTGTCTCAAAAGAGGTGAATGGCCTCCCTGAGGATGACACCTGGGGTTTTCCCCTTGCCTCCATATGCATGTGCACCTATATATGTACACACACATATACTCACATACAAGACCTCAGCACAAGCTGACTTCTGAGAACAGGGGATTCATTGGCTCATAATGGCAATCAGGGGCAGATGTTGTTCTGGGGATGTCTGGCTCAAATTCAACATCAGCATCTGCTTTCTCTCCTGTAGTACTGACCTCATTCTCAATCCCTCCCCCCATAGCTCCATCACCTTGTTCCCTCAAGTTCAAATCCCATTATCCAGGAGAGCTGAGGTAAGAGTATGACTGTCCTACCTGGGGTCACATGGCTCAAGCCCTAGGCCAACCAATCCACTATCGAAGAACCTTGGTCAGCTTGGGGATGTGCTTAACTGTCTGAGATTGGAAGAAGCAGAGTGAGGACAGGAGGATTCGCTTATCTATCAAGAGTAGGAGAGGAGCTGTTCCCCAAAGCCATTTAGAGATGGATCTTTGACTGCTAGGATAACAAGTGTGCACTACACCTGGTGATCTTTCACCCTGTGTTTAATTCATGTATCACAAGTTCCCTGTTTGCTGTGCAGTCTTGTCTCCTTACCCAGCAAGTCCTGAGGGGGCCTGAGGAGCAGCCACCTTACTGCACAGACATTCATCTTTCTCCTTGTACTTATGTTGCCTGTGGGACTGCATCACTCATCGGCAACAGGCTGTATCCAGGATTAGTTATCCTTTCATGTATTTGTTCCGAGGAAGGATCCTGGAGAGCAGAGGTCATGTCTTATTCATCTTGTGCCCCCCTTAGCACTTTGCCTGGTGTTTGGGGGCATAGCAAGATAGTCCATAAATCTGCTGACAGATTGAATGACTGATTTATATGCTGCTAGAGCCAGAGGTAGATGGAATCTTGATTCAACTACAAAACTATAGAGAAAAAGACCTGTGTTCGCCACATCATTTCAAAGAGATTGCAGACCTTCTCAGGACTAAATAATGTTGCTGAGGTCAAGATAAATATCCTCTCTGCACCCCAGCTTCAGCTGTTGGTGTCATTTCTATTTCTAAGGGACTGAGTGAAGGCCCAAGGAATGTTGGTCTCAGCTGCCCAACCCCCTGAGGAGATCATATGATCTGACTCAGGCTCTGTAAGAGGGGACAGGTGCAGTGATGGAGGAAGGTGATCATGGAGTGAGGGAGCAGGTGGCATTCTTCAGAGGCTGTGCCCCAGGCCAAGAGCCAGAGCCCTAGGGAACCTGTCACTGACTCTATGCTTCTGGGTTTTAATTGTTTTTGTTTGCAGACCTTGGTTGGTTTTAGGAACCCCCCATGTAATTCCCTCACAATCCAGCACATAGAACAGGGAGAGAGGAGAGGATGAGAGATCAGTGTTAGGCCACTTTGGATGCTCAAACATACTCCATGAAGGCTACATAGTTCATTAGACTCAGCGGCTTAGATTTTGCAAATACCTTGAAAACCACTCCGGACCAGGCGGTTTGTTCCCTTGTGGTTCATGCCCACAAACAGCTTTCACAGAGGGAGGTCTAGTGACTCACCCAAAGTCTCAGAGACTACTAGCCACAGTCACCAGATATCAAATACTGAGGGGGAAGGATGGGAAAGTGTGGTTGGTAACTGAGAGCAAAGCAGGAAGGTGGTGGTTGGAGCAGATGAGGAAGGACAAAATCCAGGGAGAGTAAGGGGACAAAAAGAAACCTCGGGAAAGGAGCACGGCCAAAGGTATATGTGCGTCTACCACCACTGTCCGCGGGCAGCCTGAGGGCGAGAAAGGAGGAGCTTAGTTCGAGGTCCCGCCCCCGTATGCCTCGCCCTTCATAGAGTCCACGCCCTCATATGTCCCCGCCCCCGGGGGGGTGTCTTTTCGCCCAAGCCCCGCCTCCCAACCCAGAAACTCCGCCCTGCACCAGGTCCCGGAAGCGAAAGCTACTCCGCCTCTTCCGAGCCAGGTCGCGACCTTGAGGCCGGGATCAGGTTTCCGAGCGAGCGTGTCGGGCCTCCCGGGGCTCTGAAGCCCCCTTTCTCGCCATGGCTGCGGCCCGAAACCTGCGCACCGCGCTCATATTTAGCGGCTTCATCTCCTTGGTCGGCGCCGCCTTCTACCCTATCTACTTCCGGCCCCTCATGAGGCTGGAGGAATACCGTGAGTGACCTCTGACCCTGCGCGATGGCTAGCCCCAGCGACACGCCCTCGTCCTTAAGCCTATACCCTATCTGTTTTAGGAGGAATAGCTGGATTTAGGAGTGAGGCCAACCGGGTTCCAGGCTCTCCCTGTGCAGCCGGTGAACTCGGACAAATGGCCTCACCTCTTATGTTCAACTTCCATGTTCAGGCTCTAAATACTTACCTACGCGATCAGTAACAGAACTGTGGAGCATCTTTTGAGTCATAGAGGTGTTGATGTATATGAAAGTAGCCTGCACATAGCAGGTCGACACTAAACAGTAGATCACACACAGTTAATATATACACACATGTATATGTATATATGTGAATGTTTAATATGTGTCAGGTTAGGCATATACTGGATCTTTGCATTTGCACAGCCTTCCCTTGAGGTAGATGTTACCCATTTTACAGATGGGGTCACACAGCTAATAAGTGGTAAGGGAAATAGTACCAACCCAGGCAGGCTTCTGTCTCCAGAGCCGCCTCCATCCACCCAGGTTTAGATGGTGATGCAGTGGGGAGGCAGACAGGAACCTTGATCATCCTGAACTGAAAGGTGTTTTTACTGTGCTTCATTTCCATCCCCTAAGATGCCTTGGAGCGGAAATATTTCAAAGCTAAACTGTTAACCTGGGTTTTTTGAGTTTTTCCTCAAATCGTTTTTCAGATTCTGCTGGTTTCCTTCATTTTAAGCTGGTTGCTCACATGACAATGGCGGATGTCTGGGGAGTCATTTTCTTCCTTAATCATTCAGGTCCTATCATTCTAAAAGCCAAACTCTCCTTCCTGGAGACCTATACCTCAGCAAGGATTAGCACTTTGATACATCTGAAACCATCTGTCAGAGAGGAGAGATGAGGCGTTAGAGGCTCATTTTGTTCTCCAGGAACCCTGAATCATCTTGAAGATGGAAGAGGGCCAGCCCAGCCCCTGGGGAATATTAGCAGAGGCTGAAGCTTGGCGATTTGAAGAGCCATGTAAATGCTCTGCCCATCTCCATTGCTATAGCATTTGGTTCCTGGAGGCAGAGCATTTTAAAGCACACACACAGCATCTCCTGGCAGCTTCTTTTCGTCGGCCCAGACTGAGATGGTCTCTGTGCTTCCTGCCATCAAGTCCTCCTGCATGCGCCATGTGTGGAGGGAACATGGGCTTGTGTGAGGTCCTGCAGAAAGTCTCCATCCTTCTCCCTCACTGGATCCTTGCCCGGTGTGTTTGTTTGTGTTTGTTTGTTTGTTTTGTTGTTGTTGTTACAGCTTCTAGAGTTGGACCTGAAACAGAAGGTGTGCTAGGAAACTCCTCTTTCTGAAGTCAGGACTCAGCTCTTAGCTAGTGTGCTTTGTCCTCTATGTGAAGATGGGTTTGCTTGTCACAGCTAAGGGAGCGAAGAGGATGTGAGTAAGCTAGTAGTATCTACTGCATAGGATACAGGATAAATTCGCCGCAGTACGCAGAAGTCACCTGTGAGGAAGTATCAAAGTGTGAGGGTTGCCCTGGTCAAGAAACTTCGCTCTCAATCAGCCAGTGAAGAGGAATCGTGTCCTGTCTTCCTACACGTCTTCCAGGAATACTCCCCAGACTTTGCTTGTCCACATTGCTTTAGGCAGGCAGGTCGGGCTCTGGGGTGAACTTCTTGCAAGAATAACTATGATAGCTGTGTTTTTAGATTTAAGACTGAGTACACCTGCTCACCTTTTAGCTTATTTTAATTAATTCGGCCAACTTTCACTAATGCCATAACTAGATCTTTCAAAAAGTAAATAATACTAAACAGTTAATTTTTATCGGAAGCTCGGAAGCAAGCAAACCCATCTTCACATAGAGGACAAAGCACAGTAGCTGAGAACTACACTCCTGTCTTCAGAAAGAGGATTTTCCTAAGGGAACCAATAGCAGACCTTCTGTCTCAAGTCCAACTCTAGAAGCTGTAAATACTAAACAGCTAGTTTTTATCAGAAGGTTTTTTTTCTTGGCACTCTTCCAAGCACTTCAGCTATTAAGCCACTTAGTGCTCATAATAACCCTTTGTGGTAGCTGTTAAATAACCTACAGGCAAGGTATTTCCTCACTCTGGATCTTGTCCCGCACCTCCTGTGGTGGTGGTGTTTAGTGGACTGAATATAGGTTTGGGGTGAATTAAGTGAAGTATAACTTGTAGAAATTCCTAGTGTATTCTCATATTAGGAATTGTGAAAAAAAAAAAAAAAACCCACTTAAAAGGAGGGCTTTGGCAAGGAACAAGATGGAGGTGTTGGGATGGAGGTGGTGAGAGCAGGTGTGTGCCTGGGGTTGGCTGACCCAGCAGTAAGCATGTCCAGCTGGCTCAGTGTGTGCTTGGGATAGGAACTGGAAGCCTGCTGTGTGGGTGAGCTTCTGTTCACCTCAGTGCATTCACGTTTTAATATGTAGAGTATTTAGCCACTTTCCTTTCTTATGCTCAAAACCCGCATTTAGTTGTCACTGTGCCAGGTGCAGTTTAGATGCATGTGTGGGGTGGCCTCAGCACCTTGTTCCCCGCCACTCGTCTTACCCTGCCCTGTCCTTGTGCATCTTGCATATTGTTTTAGCCCGATGTGTTCCCTGCTCCTTTGCTCACTAACGTCACTGTTCAGTCCCCAACGCTTCGTCCTTCCATCCATCCCCTTATGCTTTTCTTGTGTGCACTGTTTTCTTTTTAAAAACCTTTCAAGAAAATGTATTATTGTGTGTTGTTGAGAGGGTGCACATACCACAGCTTATGTGTGGCAGTCCGAGAACAAACTCCATGGAGTCATTTCTCACTTGCCTTTTCATGGGTTGTGGGATTGAATCGAGGTCATTGGGCTTCCTTGGCAAGTGCTTTGCTGGCTGAGCCATCCTGCTGGCCCCAGTTGAGTTCTTTCTGAAATACACCTGGCTTTGGTGAGAATTTGTAAAGGGAAACTGTTTTGGTTTGTTAGGAAATGTGGAGCCCTCTGGGTCTTTGGCACTGGTCCTTCCATTTGTCCTTCAAGTGCAGTCATCTGGCTTGCTTAATTAAAACCCTGCAGTTACCCCACTGCTATCCTCAAAGTCCAGCCAGTGGAGGTTATTGAAGTGTTTTAACAAGGTGACCAGATTCACTGTATGCCAGCTTCAGTGCCACTATAGGGAGGAGGGACCTGAAGCGTCTAGAGGCAGAAAGATGGGTACCAAAAAGCAGTTATCTCCCCCCACCCCCCACTCAGGAAATGGTACCCAGCCTATACCAGAACACTTCTGGAACTGAAGGACTCAGTGCATAGGGACTTGTGTCTGATGAGCCCTGCCTTAGTGTTCTATTGCTGTGAAGAGACACCATGATCACAGCAATACTTATAGAAGAAAGCATTTAGTTGGGGCTGGTTTAGTTCATTTTCATCATGGTGGGGAGCATGGTGGCACACAGGCAGACAGACATGTTGCTGGAGAAGTAGCTAAAGAGTTCTACGTATGGATCTGCAGGCATCAGGAAAAGACTATGAGCCACTTGGCCCACCTTGGGCTTTTGAAAACCTTAACACCATCCTGGAGTGACACATTTCCTCCAAAGAGGCGGTACCTATAATCCTTTCAAATAGTGCCACCCCCTGGTAGCCAGCCATTGAAATACAAGAGGCTATGGGGGCTGTTCTTATTCAAACCATCACAAGCCCCGAGGGTGAGGGAGAATGGCTCCTGTCTTCCTGACTCCAGCACACCCGAAGGTGGTTGTGGTGATGGTGGCAACCAATTGGAAGGCATTAGTTTGAGGGATGAGGATGTATAGGTGCCATTTTGGACAGCTGGAGGGCTGGGCAGCCATGTGCTTCTGGAGTTGCCCAGGGGCAGAACCATAACCAGTCTGGAGTGGGGTAAAGGCACCAGCAGTGTATACCAGGACCAGTCAGTGCACCAGGTTGGGGCTATGGCAAGTGTTCTAAGCTGGGAAGCTGTAGTGTCCAGAACACCAGTGTGTAAAGGGTTGAGAAGTGGTCAGCAGAGAAGACCACAAAGGAGCCTTAGGAGGAGTGGGCATAGAGAGGCTTAAAGTTAGGAGAACCTGTAGCATCAAGAAGGCAGCTCTCAGCCGGGCGTTGGTGGTGCACGCCTTTAATCCCAGCACTCGGGAAGCAGAGGCAGGTGGATCTCTGTGAGTTTGAGGCCAGCCTGGTCTCCAGGGTGAGTGCCAGAATAGGCTCCAAAGCTACACAGAGAAACCCTGTCTCAAAAAACCAAAAAAAAAAAAAAAAAAAAAAAAAAAAAAAAAAAAAAAAAGCAGCTCTCCATGGAAGGGGTGTGGCCTCAGGGTTAGGTTGCTTGGAAATAGAGATAAGTGAAAGTATCTGTTGGACTTATAAAAGAGATGATAACAATAAACTGTTGGTTAATGCTTTCAGTGGGTTGAAAGTGAGCAAGAAGATTGCAGCAGATCCAAGAGTGAGCAAGCAGTCTGTTAAGTAGATGTTTGTCGGTGGCTTGACAACCCTTGAAACAGGTGGAGGGACTAGGGAGAATGAAGTTTTGCTTTAAGTTTGTGCTGGGAGGCACAGGAACACCAGGAGAGGCCAGGCAGGCTAAGGTGCTAGCTAGAGAGAGGACAGTCTGTAGAGGGAGGTAACATGGGCACCTGAGATCAGGCTGACACAGCCTTGGGCAGAGTCTAGGCACCTCCTCCTACACCTCTAAAGAAAGAGCAGGTCTGATGCAGAGACATGTGTCTCTGGAGTGGTGAGTTGTGGGGACAGCTTCTGCTGTCTGACACAGGGTGACACACCCTCTGTAGGTGAAGTGCATTGTCCGAGAGTTATCTACTGACTGCCTGGGGTGCTTTTGCTTTGCCTGCCTCTCAGCTGCATCTGATAGGGGCTGGCAAGATGGTTCATCAACCACTTGCTGCCAAGCCTGAAGACCTGGGTTTGATTCCTGGATGCTACATGGTAGAAGGAAAGATCCAACTCTACAGTTGTCCTCTCACCTCCACACGTATGCCAGGA